AGGTGGAAAGACACCAAATCAAAGTTGTTTTGTTTTAACCTAGCCTCCCCTAAGGCTCCCAAATGTCTGTTTCCAGCCTTGGGGTGTGTTGTAAAAGATCCAGGAGGTGTGGACGAATCCATAAGTGTGGGAGCTGGTCTGTATGGTGAACACCAAGATTTTCATCTGTAATCACACACTTAGATGTCTCTACCTAGTGCTCAGATGTTCTCCACTCTGTAGGTAGGTTTAGTGGATTGGAACATTTATGATAACACATTAAAACCTATGCTTCATGTGGACAAATTTAGAGGATTTTGAGTAGAATTTGCAGCTACTGGTAGAGCTTGGCTGTTAGCTAGGAAGGAGCCTGTGGTCACAGTTAAAATGGAGAGAAGGAGTAGGCAGCCCCAGCCCCCCAATTAAGGCTTCTTTTGGAAACGACTTCCCTGAGGTCTGTGGGTACATGCATTCACACTAAGTACTGCACACTGCAGAGGGGGCTGGAGGAGAACAGCTTCCTTGTGAGTTAATAAGAACTCCCGAGGAGGCCCTTGAAGTCCAAATGTAGTCTAAAGAATAGGTTTTCTTTGATTGGGACTTAACAGCTGTCAGAAAAACAAGATCGGGGGTGGGGAGTGCAGATGCCTGTTGTGGGCCCTTCAGGTAGGGATCGACTTGAACTGTGAGTTCCCAAGGCAAGCATGTCTTCCTGTGGGAAGTCAAAGGTGATCTTGCCCTGTTGTGGCTTTCCGCTTAGCATTACTGAGATGGAGGCCTAATCTTCACAAGGGCCCAACATTGTTAGAGCTGTGGTGTTTCCAAATAGAATGGCCCCGTGATAGAGACACTTCTCCATCTGCACAGACTATGGTGGACTCTCTGGGCAGCCGCCCCTCTGTGACATGCCTCATAAGTGATGGCTCAGCAGCAGCTTGAGTGAGGGTTAGGAAGCTCCGGTGTCACTCTCCTGTGACTGATCGCGGTGACCCCAGAGTGAGGTGACCCCAAAGTGAGCCATTTGCTTGGTTTTCGTAAGATAAAGTGGGGACACCTGCCCTGAGATACAGCAGTCATGCGTGCTGGGCCATGATGCTACACAGACAGGAATACTTGCTGAAGGACCAGCCGTGGTGCCCACACCCTTGCTCGGCAAGCTCTTGCTACATGCCGGCTCCTCTTCATTGTCATCCCGATGGGGTTTAGAATCACCATGGAAACACACCTCTGAGTGCATCTATGAGCTTGTTTTTCAAAAGAGCCTTTAGCAGAACAGGGAAGACCCATGCTGAATATGAGGGGCACCATCCCACGGCCTGGGTCGCAGCCTGAGCAGAGAGAAGAAGGTGGGCTAAGTCCCTGCGTTCATTGCTGTCTGCTTCCTGGAGTGAGCACAGTTGTGGCCCACACTCCCTCACACCCTGCTGTCGTGGCTCCCCCACCATGATGGACTCCAATCTCAGACCGTGAACTAAAATAAACGCTTCCTTAAGTTGCTTTTGTCAGGTGCTTTGTCACAGTGGTGAAAGAGTAATTAATGCAGGTCTCATTGGGTTAAAGGTATTGCTGTCTGTCTTTTGTGAATGGGGACCCTGAGCCCAGTGCTGGTAGATTTTAGAATTAATGTGCAACCCCAAGGCATCCCGGTATCCAAGTCTTTGCTCTCTTCCTCTTAACCGCATGGTACACATGTCAGTAGGAAAGAGTTGGAACACGAAACATGAGCAGGTGTTACGATCTGCCCTATGGAGTCCCGGTGTCAGTGGGTACTGTGGTCTTCTTGAGCCTACTGGCTCTTGTGGCGTCTCCTGGTACTCTTCGTTAACCTTTGGGGGGGTCTAGAAGGAGCCACATGGGTCCCTTCTTGTTCCTCGTTAACTCTACCTGCTCCTGAACCCTCTGCCCTATGTAGCTTTCTTACAGACACATCATTCAAATTTGAGAGAAGCAGGTCTGAGCCTTTGGGCTGCTCCAGGATCATAGGATAAAGTCAGGGAGCCCTCTATACACCCACCCATGGGGGTTCATGCACACCCTCACACAGCCAAACATACCCTCCGTAATTCCTGTCATTGATACTTTTCCTCTGCCAGAGGTGACTTCACAGTTTCTGTAGAATTATATCTTCTCTGTTAGTAGATACATCCCATCAACCTTAAACTCCTTCTCTCAGCCTGAGAGTCCCTGTCAGCCTCGGCCCAGAATGCTGGCTGGATCCCGGCCAGGGGTTGCTTGGTGGGCAGGGCAGAGCCATCTCAGTGGGAGAGTCTACACTTTGAACTCCCTGGCTACTCTCAGTTCCATCCAGGACATCTCAGAGTGCATAGATGGAGCCATCCCAGCGCTGTCCTCCCCTTCACTAGGGCAACACCTGAAAGAGGCAGAGACCATGCAGGTCTCATCTGTCCCTGTAACCCCTGTGGCTCAGAAGCACCCTCACACTCAGTGTGAGCGTTCAGAATGAACTCTGCCTCAGTACTGCAGGCACGCTAATAAATCCGCTGGGGCGATGTGTACTCTCACCTCCTGACTGGCCAAGCAGAGCTCTCCGGGATTACAGGAGATAAGTGATTTTCAGTCACTGCGGTTAATGCCGCGTTCCAGGGATGAAAGAGCCCTGTGCTTCCACCTTTCTCCCTCAGTGACAGCCCCGGCCGGTGATTACCCGGGTTAATTAATAGTTAGTGAATTCCACCCGCCCTCGCCAGGTTCACTCTCTCCTCCGTTTTTTGTTTTGTTTTGTTTGTTTGTTTTGGTCCTTCCTCCGTAGCCTCGCATCCCAAGTCCCCTGGCAGCTCCTCAGCTTCCAGTAGTATCAACAGGCCATGCAGGCATCAGAGATGGCTGATAATGCTGACATCTTGGAGGCCTTTGGGTGGGGCACGGTGTGTCACAGCCAATGACCTCTTTAACTGCAGCATCTGTTACTCTGACCGTGAACATGGAGAGTGATAACAAGGAGTGGAGTGGTGGCCCACGATTGCAGCAAGTGCTGTTTCTACCTCACCTTTGTACAATGAGAGCAAGAGCATGATGTCCCATCAGAAGGTTTTAGATAGAAGTGATGCTCACATCAGATGTTTCCATGAAACCAAATGGCATGACAATTGAGAAGCTAAGTTTTCAAGAAGGGTTTTTTTTTTCAATCTTTAAGAAATCAGCCAGAGAACTAGAGTGATGAAATAAATTAACTAAGAGCTCATACTCTCTTGCCAAAGACTCAAGTTCTGTTCCCAGCACCCACAGCAGATGGCTCACAACAGCCTGTAACTCCAGCTCCAGAGGACCCAACACTCTCCCAACCTCTGCAGGCACCTGAACACACTCTTCTGTCTCTGTCTCTATCTCTCTCTCTCTATCTCACTCTCACACACACGATTTTTAAAAATAGGTGTGGAGGCACATGTCTTTAATTCAGTAGTCAGTGTACTGGCTAGCTCTATGTAAATTTGACACAAACTGGAGTCATTTTGGAAGAGGGACCTTCAACTGAGGAAAATATACCCACCGGGTTGGCCTGTGAGCAAGCCTGGGCATTTTCTTGTTTGATGGTTGGTGTGGGATGGTCCAGCCCGTTGAGGGTGGTACCATTCTTGGGCTGGTGGTACTGGGCTCTATAAGAAAGCAGGTTAAGCTAGTCATGGGGAGCAAGTCAGTAAGTAGCATCCTCCAGGGCCTCTGCATCAGCTCCTGCCGCCAGGTTCCTGCCCTGTTTGATTCCCATCCTGACTTCCTCAGAGATGGACTGTGTTATAGAACTGTAAACTGAAATCAACCCTTTCCTACCCAAGTTGCTTTTAGTCATGAGTTTTTTATCACAGCAATGGAAACCCTAATTAAGACAGGGAGGCAGAGGTAAGCAGATCTCTGTGAGTTCGAAGCCAGCCTGGTCTACATAGTAAGTTCCAGCCCAGCTAATGCTACATAGTGAGAGCCTGCCTCAAGCGATGGTGATGATAATGAAAAATGTTAAAAGGAACCAATCTGGAGGGAGGACAGGCTCTCTAACATTTATATTAAAGGCCACCTAAATATTAGTGCCAACTCCAGCACTCTGTTAAATATGTTCATTCTACTCCTCCCATCCTTTTACCTTATGTAAAAGCCAGACTATGAATTGGTTAATCGAGCATTGGAACCTCTCTCTTTATGTATAGGGATTCTTAGTCACTCCCAGCAAAGAGAGCTTTCCAGACAGAGCGTGCTGTACACAGAGGGAGAGTGTGCTGTCTCCAGTTGGGTATGAGGGGCTGGACTACAGGGAGCACTGATTTCTGTAGCAGGATTGTGGATGAGTAAATCAGATACCTTATTTAGGAAGAAGGTGAATTCATATGGATGAAACGGTAATAGTAACTGGGATGATTTACTTGAAAATGATCTAGCAAGCATGGGTGTGGGGTACAAGGAAGGAGGGTAATTTTATGTCGGGTTCACCTTCCTGCTGTATTTGCTTGGAATTTTCCCCAAGTTCAAAACCAGAAGACTCAGGTGTAAATAATAACACTAAAATATTGTGTAGGCATTCAGGCATCAGAGATGGCTGAGTTTTAGGAAGACTTTTAATTCAAGTAGTGTGCTACAAAAATCAGAAGTCAGGTGTCTTAATGTGTGTGCACGGGTAACAAATGTGTAAAGGAGGTTGGAAGGAGACTAAAACCTTTATTATCCTTAGTTTGTGGGGTCATGGGTGATTTTTTTATTCTCCACATTTTCCAAACTTGCTAGAGGAAAAACAAACAATTTCTTGCAATTTGAAGGGAACTGTGAAAGTCTCTGACCTGCCGTTGTGTTAACGTTTTCTGTGAAATTGCTGGCATCAGTAATGAGAAAGACACTTGTGTGGTTGCTACCCATGCGGCTGTGGACACGACCCGTACTGTCCTCCTCTGCCCTCAACTCTGACTTTTCAGAGTGACATTCGGGTGAGGTGACAGACAGAAGCAGTCCCTACCAGCATGGCACTCATTGGTCACTCTGCTCCGTATGCTCCTCTAACATGGATTTCCATCTGGTTTTAGTGAACTGGACATGCTTTCCACAAGGGTGATGGACATCAAGCTTCGGGAAGCTGCTGAAGGCCTTGGGGAGGATGGCACAGGTGAGGTCCCAGCTTCCCCTGCTCTGGGAAGAGGCTGTGTTTGCTTGTTTGGGGCTGGACTTTGTGGGCTTTGTGGTTTCCTGCATGGAGAGGCATGTGGAGTGTCCCCCGTCCCCGTCCCCGTCCCCCCCCCCCCCCGTGAGCTCAGACATCCCCAGCCCCACACTGACTCCAGGAGGACACCCTTACCATTTAACGCCATTTGGCAGCATTTCTCTCCTGTTGCTCTGCCAAAGCGTTGGGGGCTTTAAATGTCCTTTTTCTTTTCCTGGAGGTAAACATGGCCCTGTATTTGACTTGAAAGCAAAGGAACAGGGGCTAACCCAGGAGCACCTGCCTTTTGATGTCAGAGGCAGGAGGATCCTGAGTTCAAGGCCAGGTTGAGCTACATATGGAGACCAAGACTAAATGGATTCATTTATCACCCAACACTTTCCAAAGCTATGCGTAGGAACTTTTGTAAAGGCCAGGATGAGCTGATCCTCCAGAGAGAATGATTATACCCAAAGAGCCTTTGACCCTTCTCTTAGGACTTTTACAAGGCCTTATCTTAGCTTCTCCTGGGCCAGCTTCCAGGCTGTGAGTCATCACCTCAGAACACATTCTGATCTAATCATAGAATTGCTATTTATGTCTTGATACAGTTGTGAAATCAATATTAAAAGACACTGATCTCCCTCGGTGCACATTCTCCTGAATTTTCAGCCATTTTACTCACCTCGTATTGTTATCAAAGGTCTCCAACCTCTCTTGTTTAAATTCAAAATCTCAGGAGTGATTTTCTTTTACATAGGTCAGGAAGAATAACTTCCATTGATATTAAACTCAATGGCTAGCTGCTGCCTCCAGACACTTATCCCAGTGAACACTCTATTTCATATAGGAAGATGAGTTGTTCAGGTACCAAATAAATCCAAATACAAGGTGGGAGTATTTTAAGATTAATCCTCAGTGGGGGAAAATAGTCATTCAAACTGCAATATATCGTAGGACACTGAATTGTTGCTTTTTAAAATAAGAAAACGTTGTAGTAAGTATTTCGTTTCCCCCAAAATAGCTTCAGTAGATGCCAGTTTGGCCTACATAGGTCCCCATGAGGAATCAATTCTAGAAAATGAGAGAATAGAGGTATTGTACTTTTTGTTTCGAATAATAGTAAACCTAACTGTGAACAGACCAGCTTTTCTTATTTAAATTTTGAAAATTCTAGATGAGAATATGATTTGAAAGGAAAATGGTAACTCAGAAAGATAAGTGAGAACATTTTCCTTTGGTGTTTTACTCTGAAATTTTGAATCTCATTTTCTTGTGGGGTAAGATTTGGGGTGGAGTAGAAGGCAAGATATAGGGTCTGAGGAGATCGGTCTAATTGATGTCTTCCCTTTGGTAAGCTGCAAAGATGGAGTGGGTGTGACCTACAGATAAGTCAGCCCTCCTGCAAATCTGTAGCTTTGGTTGGTTAGCCCAGAGAACCTCAACCCTTGAACTTGGGTCAGTAGTTCTAGGTCAGACATGACCCCAGGTACTGTGCAGAAGCAAGCTGTCTTCTTGAAAGACTGTCACACAGTCCTACCTAGAGTAGAGCACTTGAAGGGGGGTGGAAACTGGAACTTCCGATGTGGACGGTGAACCTCAGCTACATAGGAAGTTCAAGACCAGCTTGGGATACAGTATGACCTCGTCCAAACAAACAAACCAGAGAAGAGGAGCTGGAGAGGTGGCTCAGCAGTTAAGAGCACTTGTTGCTCTTGCAGAGGACCTGGGTTCAATTCCCAGAAGCCACTGGTGGCTCACAACCATCCATAACTCCAGTTCTAGGAGATCTGCATGGTGCACATGCACACATGCAGGCAAAACATTCATATACATAAGACAAAATAAAATTAGTAACAGAAGAAAGAAAAGGGAGAGCAGGAAGGAGAGAAACAGAGAAAGAAAGCAAAAAGTACCATCGATCCTCAGATGATTCAAAACAACTCAAAGCGTGCTACAAACACACATGTAAGACTCTAACCCTTTACAAGGAGAAGAAAATATTGCTTGCCTACAGTTACAACAGAGTTTTTAGATTCGGCACCTTAATCCATAAAAGATAACTTTATGAATGGAACTTCATCAAAATTTAAAACCTTTTCTCTGCAAAAAAATTTAAAAAACCACTATTAAGTAAAAAAAATATAGGATTGGGAAAACTATAAATCATCCTGGTTTAAAAAACACAGCAAACATTTGGAACTATGTGAGGTAAAATAGTAATTAATAATAATAATAACAAGCCTAATTTGTTTTTAAATTTAGACATGGACTTATAAAGATGCTTTACCTAAGAATATGAACAAATGACTGCATCTTTATTTATTAGGTGATACAAATTAAAACCATAGCTTTAAAACTAAAAAAAAGCCTGAAAAGTACTGATCATGTTGCTTTTCTTGTAGAATACAAAATGATATAACCACTTTGAAAGACATTTTGGTGGGCCATGTGGTAGTGGCACACAGCTTTTAATCCCAGCGCTATCACAGCCAAGGCAGAGGCAGGCGGCTCTCTGTGAGTTCAAGGCCAGTCTGGTCTACAGAGTGAGTTCCAGGACAGCCAGAGCTGTTACACAGGAAAATCCTGTCTCAAAAAATAAATAAATACATACATAAATACATAATAAGTAAAAAATTTTAAAAGGAGAGACATTTTGGCAGTTTCTTGCAAAGTTAAGCGCACACATCCCTACAGTGGAGTATTGACCAAAGGACAATGAAAACTTATGTTTACACAAAAACCAAAAGTGACTTTATTTGTGTCTGCCAAAAGTCAGTTGACCAGTCAACCAATCAGTAAATATATCTATAAGGGAATACTACTCAGCAATAAAAAGGAACAGACTATTGGTGTCTAATAACAATGTAAATGAGTTTCTACGTGAAAAAAGCCAGAATCAAAAGACTGCACACTTGACCTGATCTACACACTGTGACTTGAGCCAAAACTCTAAGAGCAGATCCCTAAATGGCTGCATGTTAAGGGAGCCACATGAGGTAAAGATGAGGAAATGGTATAGATCGGTTCTGCATCTGGACTGAGGAAGTCATCGTGCTGCAATACGGATGCCAGAATGATTTTTACCATAATTTAAAATAGTTTAAATGATATTGCAGATTTTAAAAACAAGTGGATTTTTTAAAAGTAAAATATAACTGGTAAAAGCTCAGTGTTCAGATCAAGAGCATTGCACCAGGTCAAGATTACAGGGAATCCTATTGAATGCAGAGTGTAATGATGAAAAGATGGGAAACAGCAAAGAAGACAAAGGCAGAGCTAAGCGATAGCCTGAAGCATGCATTCACATCTAAGTCAAAGCCTGAAGCTTGCATTCACACACAGGTGATAGCCTAAAGCATGCATTCACACCTAAGGGATACCTGAAGCATTAATTCACACCGAAGAGCCTGCAGCACACTTTCATGCAGGCTCAGAGAAAAGGTGATGCCAGGAATTTTCTAGGATTGTTAAAAAAAATCTAACAGAAGCAATAGCCTGGTCCACAGATTTAAGATGCCCAGTAAAGGACTGAAAAGATGGTTCAGTGGTTAAGAACACTTGTTAACCTTGCAGAGGACCTGAGTTCAGTTCCCCACAAAGTCACCTGAAACTCCAGCTCCAGGCCACCTGGCACCCTCTTCTGGCCTCTGCTGGCACTGCGTTTGTACAAACACATACACCTAAATAAAAATAAATTTATCAAATAAATAAAAGAAACCCAGTGACTCCTAGGAGGGATAATTAACGGGCAGTAAAAGTACAAAGGGAAAGATGTAGAAAGCCAAAATTCAAATAAAAAATCTAAAGTCCAAGGAAGGGAGCGTTACCTTCACAGGAGCCAAAGGAAAAGTGGTGGCTGATTACCTTCACAGGAGCCAAAGGAAAAGTGGTGGCTGATTTCCTAACAATACAGTAAAACCCATGACACTGTCACTCAATAAAAAAAAAAAAACTACCCATCTTGGAGGCTAAACCTGAGAAGGATGTATGTCAGGATTGAGGGAGAAACAAAAGTATTGTCAAAAACCTAAGTTTGCCACAGATGGGCCCTTAGAAGCTATGAAATAGAGATTGACAATCAAAGAAAGGTAATAAAACCATTTCACTCCCTCTGAAGTTGTTAGGATGAATTTATTTTAAAAATTAGCAGAGGTATGAAATAAAAACACAAAAAGAAGATGGCAGTGCTGCAATTGCCATCTTTAAAACAGAGAAGAAAAGACATTGCTTCCTGCACATTCTGGGAAGTTTATGGAATATGGTAAAACCATAAAGTAAATCACAACCAAGCTGAGTAGAACAAAATTCAGAGTACATTATCTCACCACAGTGAAATTGGTAACAAAGAGATAGAAGGTTGCCACGTGCTTGGAAATGAAGACATGCCTTCCTGTATAACTCACAGATCTAAAAAGGATTGGTCATGGAAATCAGAAAATGCTTCTAACCAAATAGTAATGAAAATACAGACTCTTATAATGTGTAGAGCTTAACAGATCTAGAGGGAACTATTTCCTGAAATGTATTTATTAGCAAAACAGGTAATGTTTTAAAAATTTAGGCTCTCCTAGAAAGACCCTTTAAAAGGTAAAGTAGCAAGATTGGGCCTGGGGGTGTTGCTCAGTGGTAAGGCGCTCCCCTCGCACGCTGGAGCCCTGGAGAGCCTAACTCTTTTCACACATCATCAGTACAGTTGCCCAAGGAAGAAGGACAGATAGGTAACACATGGTAAAGGAGGCACTACTACAGATCCTGTGGGTGCCACACCCAGGAGAGTGTCTTAGTAGCATCCTTTGCCAATACTTTTGAAATTTTGAAGTGTAGATAAGTCCCAACGGAACAGATTGAAGATGTAGGGAAGTGGATCAATCCTGTTACTGTTGCCTAAGAGGGGGAGAAATCAAAACAATCAAGATGGCCAATTTAACTCTTTAGGTACATGTAATTAGACTGATTTAGGCGTCCATACACATGCAGTGCCTGCAGGCGCCAGAAGAGGGTGCCAGTTCGCCTGAAGCTGGGGTTTCAGTTGGCTTTAAAAAAAGCACACTCTGCTCTTTGTGGCCACCTCCTACTCGCTCTGTTCATGCCCTAAGCACACCTGGGTGTCAAGACAGGGATGTGGTTTATTTGTTCAGGTCTCCGGGGACGCTTAATAATTTGTTGACTATTGGAAGGCCAGGTGGTGTCCCTATCAAATGCAAAGACCTCCTGAGAGTCTTTCAATGTAAACTCTGGATGGAGAACCATCTGCACACAAGATAAACATATCATGATGTGAAAGGAAGTTTCCACTGAACACAAAAAAATTGTCCCCTGTGGAGAGCCATTTGCCCCAATCTTGCTGACAGCAAAGTCATGTGACTTTCACACAATTAGGAAGACCCTCTCTTATATTTTAAATCAATTCCGCTTCTAAACTTACTGATAAAGTGGTCTTAGGCCGTTTTAGCAAACTTCTGCCATGTCACACAGCATGTTTGAACTCTCTGAATCTGTTTCCTCCTTCTGTCCTGTCTTACAAATACTCAGAAGGGAAGGGGCTGCCCTGGTGAAACCATGAGCTCCTGGATGGGATAGGCCCCATGGGTAAGAATGAAGGTGACATTCAAGGAGCTCAGCCTGCACACAACCTCTCCACAACAGGGATGGCCACGGCTTGCTCGTTTTTCTCACCCACCCCAACACACCATTTTAAAAATTAAAACAAAACTTAAAAATAATGTATTTTTTTAAAGAAAATAACTTGGGTTGTCATACAGCCTTTGCCTCATCTGGCATGCTAATGTGTACGTCATGTGTGAAATCGTATGTATATTCCAGGGACATAAAGAACATGGTGTCAGGTGAGAGGAAACTTTGGGTTTTGATTTATTAATCATGCAGTCTTGGCTCATTTACTGATATCCTCATGATAAGCAAGGGGGCTGGAGAGAAGGCTCAGAGGTTAAGAGCACAGGCTGCTCTTGCAAAGGACCCACGTTTGAATCCCAGCACCCACGTGGCAGCACAAACCATCTATAACTCCAGTCCCCGGCGAGCCCATGCTCTCTTGGCATCTCTTTGGCCAGTGCATGGGTGTGGTGCCCAGCACAGACATACAGGCAGAGCATCTATACACATAAAACTTCAATGTTTTAAAGGATATAAACCAATATCTGTTTCGGGGGCAGACCTGATAGGTCATGTGCTTCTGTCTGTGGTATTTGAGTCTTTGCTTTCTTGTGCTAATCTGGTGTGTGTGTATGTGTGTGTGTGTGTGTGTGTGTGTGTGTGTGTGTGTGTTTTCATCTGTATAGGAAAGAAGAAATCCAAATTCAAAACGTTTAAGAAGTTGTTTGGGAAGAAGAAGAGAAAGGAGTCACCCTCGTCCACTGGAAACAGCACCTGGAAGCAGACTCAGGCCAAGAGCGAGGTCATCGCCATCGAGTCGGGGCCAGTGGGCTATGACTCCGAAGACGAGCTGGAGTAAGTGGCTGTCACCTGCAGCTGGCTTGTGAGCCTCAAGGAGGAGGGACGTTGGGCACAGGAGATGTCCAGCACTCTTTCTCCAGTGCCTGGTAACCTGTCAGGTTCCTGAGCCTCCTCCCATCCTGGGTGATGCCCTTAGGAGCGCCTCAGTACACAGTGAGCATATTAACTCCTCAAACACAGGAATAGAGGAAGGTGGGGGAGACGTGGTTATGTAGTTGCTACCCGCTGGGTGCCATGAGTATTTAAAAGTTCACAGTGATTGTGGCTGGAGAGGAGGCTCTGTGGTTAAGAGCACGTGTTGCTCCTGCAGAGGACTGGGGTTTGGTTCTCAGCACCCACATTATGGCTCACAACCATTTCTCCAATTCTGAGGTATCCGGTGCCTCTCAGGATGCTAGGCGTACGCATGTGGCACACGTATGTATGCAGGTAAATCACTCATGTGCATAAAAGAAAATTTTAAAAATATAAAAAAAAACATGTTCACAGTGAGGAGATGGTTCCATGTAGGTCTGTAATTCCAGAACTCCCATAGCAAGATGGGAGACAGAGACAGAGGAATCCCCGGAAGCCTGTGGGTGAGCTTCCTTGGGACAGTGGTGAACAACAACCAGCCCTGTCTCAAACAATTTGGAAGGCAAGGACTGCCACCCTGCCACCCGAGGTTGTCCTCTGACATGCACCTCAGCATTGTGGCATGTGTGTAGCAAGCTACCCCCAACACACACACACACACACACACACACACACACACACACACACACACACGAGAGAGAGAGAGAGAGAGAGAGAGAGAGACCAATACACAGAGAGAGAGAATGACAGAGAGACAGAGAGAGAAAGAGAGAGACAGATAGAGAAACACTTATAACGTGCACAGTAGCTGTATGAGATGATGCGATGAACCATCACAGAAATGAGCAAAATAAGCCGTAAACCACCTGCCCAGTATCACACAGCAGAAGGGGCAGGATTGGGATTTGGGATGCAGGCTCTGGTTTAATTTAACCAAGAATGCTCAAGGACCGGAAACACAATGTGGGGAGCTCACACGGCTGATCGAATAAGGGCACTGATCAAAAAGAACAGGGCCAGCAGATGCAGAAGAAACGGCTTCTTCTTGTCTGGGCGTGGTTAGTTCAGACACACCGGGGATGGCCACGCGGGCAGCTCTCGCGGACAAAACTTTGATTTTTTTAGCTTGTATTGCATCACAGTGCAGTCATGTCGCCTGTCCCCGCTACCCGCACTGTCATATTTTGAACTGGAGAGAAGAGGGGGCAGCCTGTAATGCCTCTTAAACATTGACTCTCATTTCAGGATAAAATGCCAGAAAGAATGGCAGTGTTCCAGAGACAGGGACAGGGCAGCCTGTCTCTAGAGGCGGAGAAATTACACTGGCCACTTGGTGGCACTAGATGACTGAAGATGGAAAATCAGAGTTTGATTTTTTTTTTTCCTCTCCCTCCTCCCCGAGCTAGTTAAAAGCAGATTGGACTCGTGGGTACCTTGTAAGACCATGCACAATTGTATGGTGCCGGAGAAGTAGTCCTGGCTAGCCCCAGGAGACCTCTAATGCCTGCCCTACCTCCTGGTGTTCAGAAACAAGCCTAGGCACAAACAGGAGCGTAGCCAGAGAGCCAGGCTCTGGGGAAATGTTCCTTATCATAGGAACCCAGGGAAAGTGGGGACAGGACCTTTGATATCTGTTTATGACTAGCATCCTGTATGAGCATGATTGACATTCCTTAATAAGAAAGAAAAGATGGCGGGGCGCTAGTGGAAAGACAGCTCAGCAGTTAAGATTGCACCCTTCTTACACAGAGGACCTGAGTTGGTAGATTCAATCTCCAGGAGGATTCAACCCCTCTGACCTCCATGGGCACCTGCTTGCACTTACAGACACCTGTACTCCCATGAACTCGTGAGCACACACACACACACACACACACACACACACACACACACAGATAAGCATTAGAGGTCCCGGAATGAACAATGACATTTTTCAAGGTCAGCACTGAGGAAGAAACCCTTTCTTTAGTCTCTATGAGACTCTGCCACCAGCCTCTGCAGCAACTTCCACAAGGACACAGGCAGCCCAGTTCCTGTGCTGGGGCTGTCTTGGTTCTAGCTTCATCTGTGACAGCCCCCTCTGGGTCCTTTGGCCTACAGAACACGCTGTCCTCTGCATCTGCTCTCGGTACACTTGAGTTCTCCCAATTCTGTGGAAGTTTCATGTTGAAATAGAGCAACCGTTCTCAATCTGTGGGTCACGACCCCTTGGGGTCACAAATCAGATATCCTGCATATCAGATATTTGCAAAATATAACAGTAGCAAAGTTACAGTTAGAAGCAGCAGCCAAAATAGTTTTCTGGTTGGGGCAGTCCCTGCAACGTGAGGAACTGTATTAAAGGGTCGCAGCATTAGGAGGGTTGGGAACCAGTGCTCTAGTGGCGCGCTGAGCTTGAACTGCCAGTAAAGCTTCAGGGGGCCCATACTTTCTGGGTCTCTCAACTCTGTTGATGCTGCAGCTGAGCACTGAATCCTGAGTGGTCAGTGTCAATACTACCCCAACCTTCACGCTCTCAACATGTGGATGACCTATGCATGTCTTCAGTGCAAAACTGTGGCCTTTCTGTTCCTTCCTTCGTTTTACGTTTTGCTAGCCGAGTTCCTTCTATGAAGAACTATCCTGTATCAGGGACTGGAGAGACGGCTCGGTGGTTGAGCACTTGGTACTCTTACAGAGGACATGGATTTGGTGCCCAGCCCCTCCATGGTGGCTCACAACCATTTGTAACTTCAGTTTCAAAGATCTGATATCCTTTTGTGACCTCCATGGGCACCAGGCATGCATATGTTGTATATATGTGTAGGCAAACCCTCCTATATGTATAAATTAAATAAACCTAAAATAAAATGTTAGCTTTCCTTTATCAACTTCACGATAGCCTGAAGTACAATCTATTCAGGAAAACCAGAATGAGGTTGCTCCAATCAAAGAGTAGTACCTGATACCTTCACACCTTTTCGTAGTGACCAAAAAATTAGTTTTTTCCCCCCTCACTAAAGGATCATTGTGAACACAGTGGGTTTTAAAAATATGGATTTATTTTATTTAGACAGAATTTCATGTAACGCAGCCTGGACAACTCTGAACTTTTTATCTTCCCTCCATCTTCAGAGTGTTGGGATAATAGCTGTACAGCAGCATAACCGTTTTCATGTGATGCTGCAGATTGAACCCAGGGCCTTGTGCACGGTAGGCAAGCGCTCTACCAACTGAGCTTGTCACATGTATCAAGTCCAAACACACTGATTTTGAATATGTCTGATTTGCTCTGGCCCATAGCAGTCTTTTTCATTGTCTCGCTCTGGGCTATTAAGGGTCACTTCCGATTAGCTCTTTGGTCATGAGCCCAGCCAGCTCTGAGATGTCTGTGGTGAGTGATTCCAGGCTAATGCTGGGTATTTCCTGGCTTGGATCCCTTTCAAAAGCCATGTTTCCTTCCTTTTAATGTAAAGTTGTCTCAAATCACAGTGTGGTCGTGATTCACTGGTCACGACTGTTAGTTGGCTATCAGACCTCTCATGGGTTGAAGTAGGAAATGGGTTTATTTTTAAGAGATGTCTGAGCGATTCACTCTTTTGACACTTCCAATTCCAGGAAAGATGGAACTTTATTTTTTCTTTGTATTGTTTTCTGTTACACTGAAAAACTTGGACTTTAACAAAATGACTGTTTTCCTCCTATAGAGGAGTTACTTCTCTTTCTCCTTCCACAATGATCCTCCTGCCTCTGCCTCCCCAGTGCTGGAATTACAAGCATGTGCCATCATGTCTGCCATAAAATTAGGCCTTTTTGTTCTTGTTTTCCTAGTCATAGAGACTTCCCTTTTTGATTGATTTTTGTGTCTTGTTGTGTAACACATTAAATAGTTCCAAAGACAAAACTGAAAACGTTGTTACCTCTGTACCTTTGACTCTGTTTCCCCATCTAGTTTTTTCCTTCTCACTTGAGGAAACCACTCTCATGAATCTTCCATGTACCAGTTTGTTTGTTTGTTTTTAATTACTGGCAGGCACGTGCGCAACACATATTTGCCTGTATGCCCACCCTCCACTCAAACACAGCTGGTGTGACACACTGTACCCGTGTGTTCTGTCTTCACTTGGTGTGCTCTGGGAAGCTCACCTCTCTCAGTCACCTGCCTAGCCCTCCGTCAGACACACAGTAGCTCATTTGACTTGACGCCCGCTGAAGGGCACATGTGTTGCTTCCCTTTGTATAGATATTGCAGTAACGAACGACCACGTGCCCGTGACCCCTTGAGGTTTTTCCTCTGTATCAGAGACCTCTTCCTGCTGCCTCTACTCCTAGTTACATCTGGACTGGAGGTGTCTGGCCAGTAGTTGGGGTTTCTAGGGTGTGGCCCCAGGCTGTTGACTGTAGGGAGTAAATCTAGGTGTGTGTATGACCTGTGAATTGAGAGTTGCTGTCAGTGTGTGCTTTCTGGGCTACTCCGAAGCTACACCATCTGGGCACTCTGGATTTCCACTTGCAAGCCTGCTATTGCAGTGTAGAGAGGAAACACCTTTGAGCTGAGGTGCTCAGTGGAAGAGCACTTTCCTGGTGTGTGTGTGTGTGTGTGTGTGTGTGTGTGTGTGTATTAACACAGTTAGATATGCAGTGGAACGGGCCAGACCTCAAAGTCCCCAGTGCCCCATAGAGGACAGGATACCCAAGGAAGACGGTGGGGTTGGTGTGCACAAGATGTCCCGAGCATGCCAAGGCGGCTTTCCTTCCTTAACTTATGGTCTCAGTCACCTCCTTCCACCTATTATTTAGGAGGCTAGGAAAATCTGACAGCTAATTCCCACATCCTCTGAGAGCATTTTATGAGTGTCCTGTGATTTCAGTTCCAAATTAGGTCCTTGGGCTTGGAGCCGGGCTTCCATGCTCTGGGCACAAGCACAGTGATGGGTTATGCATGCCCGGTCATAAAACGGGGCCCATCTCCACAGACTTGCGCTTCTTGTTTCAAATTGGCCATAGATGTGTGATCTGGACCATCGTGGGGAGATGATGCTGTGCCAGCAGCCTCCAGCGTATGGTGGGCCCGCACATTAGCTTAGTCCATGACCCAACCTTCCCAGGACATCTGATACAAATTCCCACAGAACCCAGGCAGCACCAGCCTTCCCTTTTTTAAGGCTTGCTGTCTTGGACCTCACACCTCATCAAACCTTGTTTTTTCTACCAATCAAAATAAAAAATTCCAACAACCTTCAAATGTCTTAGGAAAATGCCCTCTGTAGAATGTTCTGACTAGTGTTTGGCAGTGGCAGGGATGAATGAACAGTTGCTAACCATGCGTGACAGAGGGCTTTTGGGAGGACTTGTCATTCATTCAACCCCTTACTCCCTCTAAGTCCCTAGGATCAGGGACGGAGGTGGACAAAGGCTCCAAGTGGCTCTTTTTACCCTAGGGAATCCAGGAGCACCTTGGGCAACCGTGCCCTCTCACACGACAGTATTTTCTTCCCCGAATCGGGACAGGACCCTGCTCGGCCTGTGCGGGTGTTTTCCCAAGAAAACGTGTGCGACCGGATCAAGGCCCTGCAGGTAAGCGTTTGCTTGACACTGTCACTTGTCCAGTATTAATCCAGAAGTTGCTAAGTAATTTCAATTTAGCAACTTGATGCGATTGAAAACAGAGTCACAGGGTCTTCACAGCTCTCCTCGGGGCAGGCAAGTTAGTCACGTTTGCATGCGCTTTTGGTGAATAAAGAGGACAGCAGTGAGGGCTGGGGACAGGCACTCATTCAGGTCAGTGCTCTGAACCATGCAGGAGCGCCAACGTCATTTGCTGAATGAATGGATGAATGGATGAATGAAGAGAGCAGGGAGACTTGCTGCTCGGTATTATTGATGAAAACACTAAGAATGACTGCTGCTCCTTCAATCCAGTTGAAGATACAATGTAATGTGAAAATGGGGCCACCGCCTCCAGGAGGCATTCCTATCAAGAGGGCAGAGGAAACTGGTATGAGCTCTGAGGATGATGGACTGCCCCGGAGCCCCCCAGAGATGTCCCTGCTGCACGACGTGGGTCCAGGCACCACTATCAAGGCAAGTGCAGTCCGTGCCCTCAAACGTTTCCCTCCACCCTTGCCAGTTATCGAGGCTAGAACTCTGGAGGCCCTCCGTGTCTCCCCACAAGGTCTCCACGAATGGGGGAGACCCCGTACCATCATTCTGTGTGGTTGTGTGGTCACTCTGATGCCATCTTCTCTGTGCCTTGTCTTGTCTGAGCAAATGCCCAGATCCAGAATGCCGCTGGAAAAGGAACTAGCTACCTCTGTATCTCCCTGCTATCAGGACATTGGCCAGAGGCCAAAGTGCACAGTAAACACTAGCATTCAGCTCTATGCCCCAGTCACAACCAAAGGAGCCTCTTGATTTGGGCAAGTCACATGGGACCCTCTGGGAAACAAGGCAACCCAGTTTGATCAGCAGGGTCTGACCTCAGTCACTGGAGACTAAATATTGCCCTCCCCATAGACTCCATCTCATGAATAAACACCCAAGCATGCTCATGATGCCATAGTTTATGGTAAGAACATTAATATTCATATAGCATATTCATATATAAATGACAAAACAGATAGCCATTTTCTACATATTAATAAGCCTTCTTGCTGAGGGCAGATGGAATTGGAAGGATCCAAATTATATTGACACTTGAAAAACAAATAAAGAGCAGAGTTCATGTTTGAAAGCTGTGCAACACACCTGCCTTGGCCATAGTGGGATCTGGCCAGGGCATTGTTTACAAGGAACCTATAGTTACCACTTCTGGCTTGGTGGAATTGTATTCAGTAACCACTGGACTTTGGCACACAGACTAGTTATTTTGTTCGTAGTTGTGAGCTCCCAGAATATTACTAATGAAAAATCAGGACTGTGATGGGGCTGATTTTAAGTCAGCTCCAGGGTTGGGATCTCACATGGAGTTGCCCAGAGAATTCAGGATGAACATATCTCTGCTCACTGTAGAGTTAGGTCTAGGGACAGTAGGCTACCTACACCTGCTCTCCAACTTCAGGAAGGGCCAGAAGATGAGAAGGTGGTCTGTCCTGGCGCCTTGCTCTGCAGAGTTAAAATTGCACCTGTCAGCACCGTAGAACACTCTGGTGTACAGTTCCGTTGTCTCTGCTCCAGGTTACCTTGGCTGTGTGGGCCAGGCTCAGTGGTGAGGAGATTCCTGTTGGAAGTGACCTGTTGCTGACTCATCTTTGACTTTTTCCTCCTTCCTGTATCCCTTGAGCCTGTGGCTCCATGGCAGCTGATTTTGTCTGCAATTCGCTGGATCGGGCAGGAGGAGCAGCTCAACTCCAAACTTGATCGACACTGTAGTGCACAGATTTTAATTAGCCAAATGGGGGCAACCTGTGCTGGGCCAGCACTAACCTAATCTTTTATTCCTCTTAAAATGAAGTCTAAGGCTTTTTATCAGTTATTAGATAGCATATCCAGTCTACTGTCATCATAGAAAACCAAAATGGAGAGGCAGAAGCAGGCAGATCTCTGTAAGTTCAAGGCCATCCTGGTCTATATATTGAGTTCCAATACAGTCAGGGCTACATCAAGAGACCGCATCCCAACAAGCGAGCAAACAAAAGTACATAATATTAGTTCAGTGCACCAATAGAACCGGGCAGGTTTTTGGTTTTGGTTTTGGTTTTTTGATCTGTGATTGCTTGCTTGTTTAAAGGTGGCAGGGATGCTCTCAAAGCCCAGCACACCCCAGATTCCCTCTGTGTGCCTTGCTCCTCATATGGGCAGTGTGCATGCGCTATGGCGTCTGTGCTTTGTCATGAAACACACCTTTGCAGGACAACCAGCACTCCAAGAAGTGACTTACTGTATTCAGTGGAGGGTGGTGTTTTAGGTGTTTCTCTCATTCTTCCACATGGCTACCAGAGGCGCACCCCCACCCTCACCCCACCCCACCCCACCCCACCCCACCCACCAATGCATTTCCTCCCCACAGAGGTGTAAGCATGTCTGTGGCTCACCATGCTATACCTGGAAGCCAGGCTCCCTGAGAGGCTGCAGAGACCCTTTAGAATGAACAAAGAAAGCACCAGAAGGACTGAGCAGGGGCTTAGTGCTTCCTGTGACCTGTGCCCCTGAGATCTCACCGCTGGGCCGCATCCCTGGAGACACTGGGCCAGTTTGTTTTGTGGGTGAATGTAGCTATGGAAAGTCTTCCTGTTGAAGAACCCAGTTTGGGGGCTGGAGAAATGGCTCAGAGGTTAAGAGCACCAACTGCTCTTCCAGAGGTCCTGAGTTCAATTCCCAGCAACCACATGGTGGCTCACAACCATCCATAATGAGATCTGGTGCCCTCTTCTGGCCTGCAGGCATACATGGAGGCAGGGTGTTCCATTCATAATAAATAAATAAATCTTTAAAAAAAAAAACCCAGTTCATGTGGTCTTAGGGTTGGCTCCCAGCCATTTGCTCTAAAGGGATCTTCTAAAACATTCTCTGCCAAGAGCCAATTGAAAATATTCTTTCCCAGGTACAGCCCAAAGATAGCACAAAAGCACACCAAAGGGGAGTTGGTAAGACAACAGTCTCCACCCTTTGTCACTAAATTAATGCTCGGTGTGTTTGTTCTTTGTACCATGAAGATCTTAGTGTCCTCATCGCGGCCACAGTCTCCTGACCACATGAGTGATGCCACTGTCTCCTCTCGGACTTTGGATGGCAGCCTGGCACCTGTGGCTGACTTCAGCCACCCTCCAGAATTCTCCTCCTGCCTGGACAACTCTGCAGCTAAACATAAGCTCCTGGTTAAGCCCCGCAACCAACGATCAAGTAAAATGAGGCGACTGTCGTCGGTAATCAGCCTTCCTCCTCTGTGTAGGGATGGGATGGGCAGGCTTGATAGTCCCACCCGCTGCCTAGCTGCCTAGCACTTCTGAGCAGCTCCATGGTGGATAAAACAACACTGTGGATGCTAGTCTTGCTCATCTTTTGTACCTTGCACCGGGTACATCTCTTTTGCATAAACACCCTATTCAGACATTAATAGTTGCATGCATGTGTTCACTCTACAAACACCAAGAATCCACTGTGCCATGTGCCAAACCTGACACTGTCCATTCCCGGACTCTCTTAACTTGACTGGGCTTAGATGCCTCAGCTCTAGAGAAGGTGAGGGGCAGAGGGCAGGGGGCAGGGGGCAGGACAAGTGTGGCCAAGGAGAATGACGCACACTGAGAAGGACTTGTGAGTAACATCTTCCCTGTCCTTTCCTCAAGACACAATTGCAGTTAGGGAAGATTTCATGACAAGCTAGGCATATCAGCTGGAGACCAGCGGCGGGGCCCATTTGGGTTTCAGGAACTTCCTGGAGAGAGTGAGTTTTCTGTTTGGCGTGTGGGAGGTGCTTTGCAAATGCAGGCTGACAGGGTTGACTTTATCAGGAATCAGTGCTGGAAGAAGATGCAGCGGCGGTGGGGGGAGGGGGCGGTGGGGAAGGAAGGGGTGGTGGAGGCGGGGTTGCGGGGGTCCCTTCAGATTAATGTGCCACCAGGGCACGTGGATCGGTTTGGTGTGTCCAGTGAGTATATAGAGCCACATGCTGTGGGAACTTGGTGAACTCTGGGAACTCCAGACCTGCCTGAACTCATGTGGAATGGCGCTAAGTAGCAACCCTTCTTACCTCCCCACCCCAACATTGCTGCCGCACCTTCCTTTAGCTTTGAACTTGCCTTCATCATGGAATACCATTCTGTAAAATAATGACAATGAAATGCTGATGGAAGTCAGCGTGGGAAAACGTGGAAGCCCAGTTGATCCTTAATTTAAGCTCCTTGTTTCTCCCCTCCCTTCTCCCCTTCCCTGCTTGGCAGAGAGCAGGTGTGGCTCTCTCAAGTTCTCAGGAGGTGTGTCTACACTTTCCTGGTGGTCACCGCCGCCCCTTGGTTCACTTCAGGAGCTGTGCTGCCGGTGTGTCTGCCCATCGGTATTCAAGTCACCTTGCTCTGGTTCCTGAGCCTCTTCTTCCCACAGAGGCCCTCCTCCTGCCTCAGATCAGGCTGTCCGGAGCTCTCTTACTCCACTGACAAGGGGCAGCTGCCCCTTCAGCTGCCAATCAGCCACAGGGCACTTCTGCGGGGACCTGATGATTCTTTGGGCTCCACTCCACAGCAAAGCCTACCTTTCCTTCTCTTTTGATCCCCATAGCCTGTGAGACTGCTTTCTCTGTCTCCCTCAAAGTCTGAACATACAGAGCTCCCACAGCCATCCCTTCTAATCCATGCTGCTGTCCTTGCTAGGGTATTCTCAGCTGTGTCGACATGTTGTAAATCTCTACTCCATGGTATTAAGGCTCTGAGTCTTGTATAAGCTCTAGAGCAACAAAACGGGGGGGGGGGGTAAGGGTTAGAGAGATGGCTCAGTAGTTGTCATGTAAGTATAAGTACCAGAGTTCAGATCCCCAGGACCCAAGTAAATGTTGTGTGTACATGGCAACCCCCCTGTAGTTCTAGCCCAGAGCAAGCTGGCTTATGAAACTAACCATATCAGTGAGCTCTGGATTTGATTGAGAGGCCCTGCCTCAATAAATGAGGTGGAAGATGGATTGAGGATGATTCCAAACATTGCATACACAGGCACCTATATACATATGCATCCATACAGTGTATCCACATATGTGCAAACATACACAGACACACATGGACACCTCACACACATGCAAATACACACACAAATGGGAAAGGCAAAACAAGGGGAAAAAGAATAAAAAGAATTGTTATTGAAAGAAAAAACTCTATTTTGTAAGTGAAACCGTGGCTATCAAGGCTGATACTTATTACAAAGCTGAAAAATATTTGGCTGATCCCCGCGGCCCTCACCTCAGCAGAAGTTGGGAGAGATAGCTGCCGGTCACTGCCTCAGTGTTTTACACTGCCAGCCATGCTAGCAGAACCATGCTGTGGGTATGATTCTAAATGAAGTTAGAGCAGAATACCTGCATCTTACACCACTCGGTCCTCGGGCCCAGCCAGGCAGTGCCAGGGTTAGGGATGTTGTCAACTCCACGTTAACAGGAGCACTGAGATTGGTCTGGTGGCTGGAAGAGCTGCCAAATGCATGCCCCAGAGTTCAGGCAGAGACAGATGCCTCCTCTCAGCCCCCTGTGCTGCTCATGGGTTGGCAGGTCACCTGCCCAGGATTACTGCACACTGCTCCATGGAGCTTGCTCCCTGGCCTGCTGATACTGCTAGCCTCAATCGACTCTCCATCTTGGTACAGGCTGGGCATTTCTGTTTCCTTGGGATGTTTTCAGAGTGCCAAACCACTGTGAAACCACAGAGGAGGAAATGCCAAGGAGATTGCCTAGATGGAGTAGGCATAGTGCACCCTGGCAGTCATGGGGAGACTGAGTTTCTGCCTGACGCAGCTAGCCAGAGGTCCTAGGCTACACAGAAGCTGCCTTTCTACTGTTTGGGCTCTCCTCGGAATCCGATTTCCCCCCTCTGAAGAGTATACCCCCACACTAGCCTTCGTCCTACAATATCCCCCTATAGGAACCGTTGGGGATGTAGCTGCCAGTAGATGTGCTGGAAGGTGCTCTAGCCAGACTGGGTCCCCAGCTGTCTGCTGAATTGGTCTGGGTTCTGTGATTGATGGTTTCAAGTCATGACCCATGTCCCACTGAGCCCTCCACATCAATAATTTCCTAGAGTGGCAAAAAGCCAATGACACGACCAAGTCAAGAACCTCAGAATGTTGTATAGATTTCTTTTGAAATCCAAAAGAAGACAATTGTGCATTTTGGCAAAAATTAGCTTAGGTATGGTCACAGAAATCCCAGACCTTTTTGTGATCTTTATCAAGCAAATGCCAGCTGGAAAATGTTTAAAAAATAATAATAACCGTTGGGGATATAGCCCGGGTTAGAGCACTTGCCTCGATGCACAAGGCCCTGGATTTGATCCCTAGCATCACAGAGATAAAAATAAAATATCAGCAACAAGAGCCAACTCCGTTGTACGCAAGATCATATTTCCTACCTTTGAAAACAAGACAGCACTGTGTAATACAACAGCCTGAATGACTCCCAAGGGTCGGTGTCATGAACATTTTGCAATAATCAACCACAGGACCCTTAACAGTTGAATCATTTTCACACGCCGATTTTGCGTGATCTGCGTCTGCCTTGATTTTCATTTTCTTCCTGAGAGGAGGAATTGAGTGTGTGTCAACAAGGAGGAAGCCAGGCCAGCATTTGAATTCCAGAGACCTTTCAGAAGAAAAATGCCACAAGGCAGTGTAGGGTACCAGGTGCATCAGAGAGCCAGAGAAGGAAGCGTCATTAGCTTAGGCAAGTTATCTATCTACAGGGAGTAAAGACTGAGAGGGTCCGGCAGGTGCTGGTAGAGTGTCCTGGAAGTACAGAGCAGGAGGCAGCATCTGGCACAGGGGTAGAGCCCTGCTTGACATAAACATAAGACCAGAGAACTTAAGACTGAATTTTTTGGATTTTATCCTGTGGTTCGCAACTTTCCGTGTTTGACTTGATACAAATAACTTTTCAAAGAAAACTATCTGGTTTCTCAATGAGGGTACAACCCCTGAGAGCAATGCCTTTTCACCTGGGATTTCTATTAACAGTCAGTTAGTTCAGTCTTGACCAGCGTTTCCAGGCCTTTGGACTCCTGGCTCTCCAAGTACAAAAAGACAATGGGAGTCCATTCCTCACTCAGATAAATCTAGCTTGAAACGAAGTTAATGAAGAACACTAAGCAGGACAGACAGTTGCTCTGTGTTGGTCCTAGTCCCTCTGTTTGGCTCTAGGCAGGCAGACACCATTTGTTTTGTGGCTTGGACATATGAGCTACATTTTTTAAAGAAAGGATCTCACTGTATAGCTCTAGCTGGCCTAGAACTCAATATATAGACCAGGCTACCTGACCTCAAACTCATGGAGATCTGTCTGTCTCTGCCTCCCTAGTGCTGGGATTAAAGGTGTGTGATAACATATCTGGCAGCATGGGTTGCATTTACACTAAGGGCCTGGCTGGTGTGGGTCTTCTGAGTTTATGGACCAGGTGCCTTGTGAACTCATAAGGGCAGCTGAAGATACCTCCTTCAGTATCAGCCTTTGTGGGCTATTGTGTTTCCTAACCCTCCCTTAGTCTCAGAGGAAGCAAAGAAGTGACAGGCTATCTATCTAATATTTGCCGCTGTGTTGATGTCTCTCACCTCTGCTTCTCCTAGAGGGCACAGTCTGAGTCCCTGAGTGATCTGTCATGGACCCTGGAGGAGGAAGAATACGAAGAGAAACGGTTATTCCAGTTCAGCATAGACGAGGGCCCCGGTGCTGGGCAGCGGGATTTGATGCTGGGCAGAAGGCCTGAGCTTGGGGGACCTGCAGCCTTGCTGCTGCCTGGAGGGGCCTGTGCCAGGCGCGCTCGCCTACAGCACAGCACAGCTGTCAGTGCCAGCATGGAAGAGGGAGGGTCTCCTGGAGAGGAACCCTCAAGCCACCGGGCAACGCCAGAGGTTGCTGAGCCCATGGCCGTCTCAGAGATGGAGACCCCACCTCTGCCAGAAGGTTCTCCGTGCCATATTCCCCACAGTGAAATCCAGAAGGAAGAGCTGTCCCCTGGAGGCCTGTGTCCCCTAGTGGAGAGCACATCTAAGGAGGTCGGTGGTGGTTCTGGAGATGTGGAAACTCCACTATCCGATGTCTCTGAGGGAGGCATGGCTCCTTCCAAGGAGGATCCCACACATCACAAGGGAGACACAACACTTCGTGAAGGGGAGGCCATACCTTTCAAAGAGGGCATAACACCTCCGGAAGGAGATACACTGCTCAAGGAGGCCATGGCACCACCAGTTAGAGACGAGTCACCTTCCAAGGGTGACATTGCACCTCCCAAGAGTATCATGGCACCTCCTGAGAGAGACACATCACCTCCAGAAACAGACTTGTCACCTCCCAAGGGAGATGTGGCGCCTCCCAAGAGGATCGTGGAACCTCCAGAGAGAGACGTGTCACCTTCCAAGGGTGACACTGTGCCTCCCAAGAGAATCATGGCACCTCCAGAGACAGACTTATCACCTTCCGAGGGAGATATGGCACCTCCTGAGAGAGACATGTCACCACCAGAGAGAGACGTGTCACCTTCCAAGGGTGACACTGCGCCTCCCAAGAGGATCATGGCACCCCCAGCGAGAGACATGTCTTCCAAGGGAGACATGGCACCCACTAAAGGGATCACGGAACCTCCCAGGAGGGACATAATACTTCCAAAGGGAGAGGCACCGCCCCCGGAGACTGTCACTGACAACAACTTCGAGACACCTTCAGATACAGAGAGACAGGACCAAAGTGTCCAGAAGGAGGAGGAGCTGACCCCAGTGGCACCCAGGCCTGAGGCAGCAGGGATAGAGTCCTCCACAACCCCTTCCCCGAGCCCTCCAGTACCCAAGAGCTGCCTGAAGCACAAGGCCTTGGCCTTAGGTGGGTCCCCCGCGGAGCCTCCTATGAAAGAGCCCAACCCCGGAGTCCAGGACAGAGCAATTGTGCCCCCGGCCCGCACCAGGCCTGCACAGGCTGCAACATCAGGGGGTCCAGAGAAGGCAACCCTGGGGAGGAAGAGCGAGCGGAGTACTGAGCCACAGCGCAGTGTTAAGAGGTTCTCGGTGACCTCGAGCAGGGCACGTGCCCGTGCGAGCAGCTCTCGCCTTCTGGAGCATTCTGCGCATGTGCCTGCAGGGGGGCGAGCACCCTTGCTACGGAGTGGCCTTGCCTGGAAGAGTGAGGCAGCTCTTGATGACGTCCAGGTGCTGCCAGAGCCCCAAGGCAAGAAGGCAGTGGGTGGTGACTCTCAAGATTCAGGGGACATGGGGGCTGGCCAGGCAGGACCGGGCAGGAGCCTCCAGGATGCTGATCCGTGTGCTTCCACCGTGAAAGAGCCAGCCCCTGGTGGGGACCAAAGCCCCTTCCCAGTCAAGCTACGGTCCACCTCGCTCTCGCTCAAGTACAGAGACGGCTCTGCCCAAGAGGCCAAAGCCATTAAGAGGTACAGCGCTGAAGTCAGGTTGGAGAGAGGAGGCCTGACTGTACTCCCCAAGGACGAACAGAGCCATGCCGGGGCTGCCCCCGCACTGCGAAGTTCCAGGTTCCCCAATGGGCAAGGGAAAGGGAAGTCCAGGTCTCCTGAACAGCCCAGTACCAAGCCACCCCTGCCCAGGAAACCACTCCTGCAGAGCCTCACCCTGCCATACCCACCCGCAGGCCTGGATGCCAGCCCTGGGGAGTCTGAGAGACTTATACCGGTCATCCTGCCTCCCGAGTCCAGGAAGGAGAAGTTACCCCACCCGGGAGCTGGTAAGAGACCTCCAAATTGCTATTGGGAATAGATGGCTCAGCAACACACTGTTTGCTGGAATGTGTTGCAGGGATGCTCATGAAATCTGTAAAAACAGGCACAGACTTTAGTACAAAGAGAAATGGAAGAAAAGGTCAAATTTTCTTAGCACCGCTGACATGTTTGAGAGCTAGGAAGGCGAGGCTGTCACTCGTGTCTGCACAGGCCAAGGGTTCAGTCACCAGCACCAGAGTGGTGGGACTAGCCTGATGGCTCAGTGATTAAGAACTTGCCCCTCTGGAAGAGGACTGGAGTTTGGTTCCCAGCACCCGCATCTAGTGGCTCACAGGAACTGCCTGTAACTCCAGCTTCATGGGTTCTGATACCTCTTCTAACCTCTGCAGGCAGCTGGGCTCACACATGCACATGCTGCAAACAGATGTATATACACCCATACACATAAATAAAAATAAATATTTTAAAGGAATCAGTAATATAATGAACATAAGATAGATACCCAAATGCCAGGATTTTGTGTTAATACAGAAACATTGTATGTGTAGACATAGTAAGGAAATCTAAAAACTGATCTTTTAGGATACTCCCAGGCTCTAAATGGGAAATGCAAATGCTTCTACTTTTGGCCTCAGAAAGCCAACAATGTGGGTGTTAATTTTGGTGCAGGTTTTCCCTGAAGCTAATCTCCTTCTGGTTTGTGAAAGTTCTTCTGACCTTATCCCCCAAGGAAAAATTTCTTCCCTTCCCCTAACCATGCCTCTGCAGCATGGCGTCACGTGGAAATCATGCTGTGTGTGACTGGAGTCATAAGAGGGTCAGTCATTACTTCCCGTCCCTTAAGGGAGATGATGTTAGGTTTGGGACACCATTTAATTACCTTTAGAGGAAATTGTCTTTAAGACAAACAGAGACAAAATAGATGATTTGTATCCCTCTTTGATTGATTTATGATGTTCCAGATCAGAAGAAATCTGTTGAAGTGAGTATCTGCAACCCAATTAAAGAAGCCACTCACTGCAGGCTTTTGATATTAATGGAAAACTATACAACTGGTGGTGCTCTCTCTCTCTCTCTCTCTCTCTCTCTCTCTCTCTCTCTCTCTCTCTGTCTCTCTCTCTCTCTGTCTCTGTCTCTCAGTCTCTCTCTCTTTGTCTCTCTCTCGCACACACACACACACACACACACACACTTATGCATTTAACTGAGAGATTGGGGACCTTAGCAACAGCTTTTCCATAGCAAATTTTATTTTAAAATGTCCCAGGCTATTTTTAAGAAGCTCCTACAGGAGTCCACTTAAGTACTGTGCTGTGGGGCAGAGAGGTGGCTCTCTTGAGAAATCCAGAACCCTGAAAGGCAGATACAGACACGGAAAAAAATGTTCTCAAGGAAACATCACCAATGTAGGGTCAAAGATTAACTGGTGTTTTCTGTGTCCGAGTAAGAAGTTAGGGAAGCATGGAGTGTATAAGGCGCCTTGAGTTCCCAGAGGATGTTGGGGGATCCCAGCACCTTGGGAGAGGCTAGCTTTTTTGGTCCTTGAGCCTCTTGGCTCAGTCATGAACTTTCGATGATTTCCTTGCCATGGCATCCATCAACAGAGAGTTTGAGGTGAGGGTCAGGTCCTGGCTGATGATCCGATCTGCACATTTTCCGGTGGGTTATTGAGGCAGCTGTAGGGCAATTCAGAAAGCTGTTTTAATAGCAAGGAGAATTGCTTTGTAGGTGAAAGTTTGATATCGCCACCATCTGCTTCCATGGTCCAGGACTGAAAATGTCTCTCAAGGGCCTAGTGAATGAGTAGAACTCTGGGTCACAGCTAGAGCTGAAAGGGGAGAAGCTTCAGGGGCAACATTTGGCCCCTTAATTACATATGAGCTCTTCAACACTATAAAATGTGCAGGATAGGCAGGGGCAGGAGGATTATGAGTAGGAAGCAAGGTTGACCTAAATAGTGAGATCCAGTCTCATAAATAAATAATGTGCCTGGGATGGTGCGCGGAGAACCTTGTGTTTTGTGCATTGCTCTGACTTACAGAAAGGTGAAACTGTCCTCATTTAGTGAGGACTGTGCTTAAGTAACAGTTATCTTGCCTATCTGTGTACATTGACATATTCGAATCCATAGAAATAGCAACTGATCTCTAAAGTGAATGCCTTTGGGTTCCTCTGCCAGGCACAGGGAATGGTTTGTATTTTCCTGAAAAGGGAACAGAATAGGAATTCCCCCTGACCTGTTAGGAACCCATCCTCCCAGAAGGTGTGACGTGGAAGACAAGGGTCTGGACTAGAGTGCTGCCTAGTCCCGTTCTCCTCGGCCCCACCTTGGGGTCTACAGGCTGCTTCAGGCAGACCAGAGCAGAATCTCAGGTCTGTGTGGTTGAGCCACACCTGTGAAACAATCCCCACACGAGGCTCTGTTTGTGGCTTCGTTCGTTAGTATGACACTCACCCTCATTTTCCAAACTGTAGCAGCTGGAAGCAGTTTAATTCATATAAAACATATAGACAGTGAAAGATTGAATGGCAATGTTCATCTGTTTCCTACAGATAGTTAAGTCTTGCTATTTACTCCCTTGTAATGGCAGGGACTTTGTCCAGAGTTCACAGATAGGCGGCTTCGGTCCCACCCTCCTCGCATCTGGGCACCGTAAAGTGAGGGTGTTGAGTGTCCCAGGTGGGCACACAGTGTCTCCAGCTGCTTTGTCCCCAGCACTGATGCAAGCCCTGCACTTCCACACCCCGTGTTCCCTTGTGAGCAAAGATTAACCCTTTCAGCAGTGAGATGAGGGCAGGCGGCACAGGAAATACTGTAGTAAATACAGGAGCCCAGTCTGCCAAAGGGCTGGGCATCAGGAGGGACCATGACGTGGTTACACGAGCGTAGTGCTGGTGTGTGCTCCTCCACGCAGAGCTGGCCTGTTAATGGACCTGAGCCACGATTTGCTGATCTGCTGTAAGGGGAAAATGGCCTGGGGTTAGGCAGCGTGTTCATTGTCCTTCATCCTATTGGACCAATCCATCTCAAAGTCTAAGTTGCAGGCCAAGAAACAGCTTTACACACACATGGTTGGAATTATTTTTAAAAAGTGGTAGTGTCTTGTTTAGAGAAATTCTAAAACACAGAACAAGTTTGCAGTGAGCCTGGTATATATTGGCACATGCTTGTGATTGTAGCTACTGGGAGGCGGAGGCAGGCCAATGGCAAATTGGAGGCCAGCCACTTCAACCTGGCAATACCCTGCCTCAAGGGAATGTTTTTAAGGGATAAAGATTATCAAGTGTTTTAATTTTCTTCTCATTGGTGTGCTGAGACACCATGACCAAAAGTAACTTGTAGGGGGAAGGGTGTACATTGAAGGGTTTGTTGGGTTTACACACCCTGATCACAGTCCATCACTGAAGGAAGCCAAGGTAGGAACTCAGGAAGGGTAGGAACTGGAAGGTGGGAGCTGAAGCAGAGGCCGTGAAGAAAAGCTGCTGGCTGGCTTGCTTCCAGACTCATGTTTAGCTCCTGCTCTTATACCTCCTGGGACCACGTCCCCAGGGATGGCACCGCCCACAGTGGGTTGGATCCTCCCATATCCCATATCAGTCAAGGACATGCCCCCACAGACATACCTATACACCAATCTAATGGAGGCACTTTCTCAACTGAGGTTCCCTCTTCCCAAATGACACTTGCATCTGTCAAGTTGACAAAAAAAAAAAAAAAAAAACTAACAGCACTGCCTTGCATGGTGTACAAAGCCCTGGAGTCAATCTCCTGGGCTTTTGGAAGAATACCCTCAGGTATCTTGATTTTTTTTTTATTTTATTATTTTTTTAGGAAAACCCCCTCTGCTCACACTTAGATTCCTTTTTAGCCTTAGCCTTATCTCCGTGGTCCTTTCCTAAGAGAGTGTTATTGGTCCTCTGGCTTGTTTCCCTGCTTTTCCTGTGCTTTTCCATGTCTGTGACTCTCTCAGAAATGGGGTGTTTCATGTGGAGGAAGAGTGCAGATAGAGATTCCCCAGTCTTCTTGTCTTTGAAAGCCTCCTAGCACTGTGGCCTCTCCCACATGCTCCTTGCATTAGACAATGAAATCAGGAAGAAGACAGATCAGATGGTACCAGAGGTAGCCAAAGGAGTAGGACAGTGGATTCTTTAGAGTATTAACTCTAGTCTACATCCTGACAGTTTTCAGAATCTAAGCTCAGAACCAAACAAAAGGGGAGAATGTTACTGTGTGTAAAGTTTGAATAACCTTTAAATATTCAAAGCACAAAGCCTCCTCCCTTCCCCTTTCTAAATATTGTCTAATCCCACCCTACAGAAAGAACCATCACAAAGAGACCCGAGACTGTTCCTCACCCCACACACAGTAGATGTGACTCTAACATGCTAGGATACACATAAATGATATTTTTCATCACAACATGCTATTCCTATTGGCTTGCCATTTGATGTTTGAAGTCCGCAATAGAGCAAGGGCGTCTTTTATGGTCAGCTGGAGTGGCTTGACTCCGTCATTTTAAGTACTGCCTACTATGTACACCACATGATGACTCCATCATTTTAAGTACTGCCTACTATGTACACCACATGATGAAGGGCATTGTGCTTGTTTTGAATCTTTTTTCCTCTTGGTCACTGTTCTGGCTAGTTTTATGTCGTCTTGACACAAGCTGGAGCCGTTTTAGAAGGGGGAGCCTCAATTGAGAAAATGCCCCCACCAGACTGGCCTATGGGCAAGTATGATAAATTTTCTCAATTCATGATTGGCATGGGAGGGCTCAACTCACTGTTGCTGGTGCCACCCCTGGGCTGGTGGTCCTGGGTAATATAAGCGAGCAGGCTGAGTAAGCCATTAGGAGCAAGCCAGTAAGCAGCGCCCCTCTAAGTTCCTGCCTTGAGTTCTTTCCCTGATTCCTGTGATGACGACTGTGAGGTAGAAATGTAAGCTGAAATAAACCCTTTCCTCTCCAAGTTGCCTTTGGTTTTATTGCAGCAACACACACCC